TTTTGAATGAAACCTTTGTATACAAAATATAAACTCAAAATTAGAAAGAACATGAAAAAGTAAATGTTAAAAAAAATATATATATATATACATACCGTAATGCTTTGTATGGCCTCGATGAAAGGTCCAAATCAAACCAACATAACCGTTTATCATAACTTCCTATGATGATATTATCACCTTTATAAAAAAGAAGTTTGGTAATAAATACTTAAATACCACGATTTAAGACGTAAATGTATTATATGGATGTATAAATATGTATGCTGCCATTATTAGCAGTTCTAACAATACCCATTGAGTGAATGTCTAAGCTTGAAATCCAGTTAACGCCTGACTGCAATGTTTTAATTAATTCTTGCTTCACCAAATTATAGATGCGCACAAATCTTTGAGTCTATAAACATTGGTAGAAAGAAAAAATTACCAAAAATTGGAAATCAATTTAATAAAAATCGCTTGTTTATCTGACGTACCGCAACAAAGAATAAAGGTTTTATAGGGTGGAACATCACACGCTGAACTAGACCCCTACTCCTGCGAAATGGTTGCTGTGTTTGATGTCGCGAGAGTTGATGAATCAAGACAGCTTGGCTGCCCGCTTGAAAGTGAATAAACAATCATTAACAGCTTTCTGAAAATGTAAATAAACAACATATCAAAGTTCCTAGCATACCATCAGGTGTTACAGTCGAAAAATAATCACCCTTTCGATGCCATGTAATTTGCTTGATAACCTAACAAATAACAAAAAACAATAGGCTTCAGCATAAAAAACTCAACAAGACAGTATATGTTTTATCAGCTACCTTGTTGTGTGCGTGTTGCACAATTATAAGGAATCCATCTTCTTGTTTCGTTGGCGGTTTAGTCCATTCCACTAATTTCACTTGTTTGTCTATTAAACTATGTCAGTAAAATTCTTTAGATAAAAAAAATTTAAAAAAATGAGTGAATCAATAAATGTGAAAAATACCATTTTTCTCAATGCTAAATCCAGATGCAACATATTGAGCTGTCAAATTTGTAATTTCATCGTCGCATACGGCAGGTGGCGAGATTATTACAACTTTATTTGAACTTGATGAAACCGGAATGATACGGTTTAAATTCAATAGGTAAACATTAACGCAAAAACATTTTACAATTCAAAAAAAAAAAAAAAAAAAACTAAAGCCTACACAGCAACTGCAAATGCACAGATATCCTTGTTTGGACACCAAGCCACGGATTGGACAATTTCATTCATATCCCAGGTTTTAACACAACGACCCGTCGTAATTTCCCACATCCTTACAGTCTTATCATCTGAACCAGACACCAACCATATTCCAGATGGATCAATAGAAAATTCACGTACACGACCCTTGTGTGCATCATATGAAAGTGTAATTGATGTTGGAAAAGGTTGGAGATCTTTTGGATTAGGTAACTTAGGCAAGAGTGATTCAGGATCAATTTTGAGCTAGAATTCACGAATAAATTAATTAGTCAGCAAAGAAAAGTGGTAAAAATTTAGGACTTTCGAGTACTAAAAGAATAAGTCAGTATTTCTGCATTCACCTTATTCCTTCGTATACGCGGAGCCAAATATAGGTCGAGGCACCTATTGAATCGCTCTTGAATAAAACGTCCATATGCTGGCACAGCTCTCAGGCATGGATATCTGTAAGGATTGCTAAAGGTGAGCTTCAAATTGAACATGCTAAAATAAGATAATGATATTATTACTTTTTTGGTAAATAATCCTTTTCTCTATCATCCGGATCCATCTTTTCCCATTCATCTCTTTCTTTGTCTGTCGGCAAATATTCCGCAGGAGGGTTATAACTCTCATCATGTTCAGGTAACTTTATTTTAGGTGCAGGTATCTGCATAACGTGCTCTTCACGCGGTTTATCGTTATCTGTCCACAAACTATAATAACGAGGTTTGGGTGTCGGAGTCTTACCAGGTACAATACGTCCTTGACGAATAGCACGTACAATTTTCATTATCTTCAAAAATAATATTCCAACTTTAAGCGCAATTATCAAAATGATCAAACAAATCAATATTACATGATGGAGAACATACACGTTTTGCTTCCCATTTGGAAGGTACGAAACGTCGTTTGGGTTCAGGCGTCGCGGTGAGAGGCATAATTTCGGGTTTGCTAGTGAACCACTCAACAGTTGGTTCATACGGATCATAATTTGGATCTGGAAATGCACCCATCTGAATTCGACGAATAATCTCCAATTCTTCGTCACTTAATTTAACATTCAGTTGTGATAAAATGTCTTTTACACATAACCTGAAAATAGTCAAATATTGCGTCGTTAAGATGATTACACGATTGAAATAAAGTAACTATACTACATACCATGAATCAGGATCGTCCATATTATCCAAAAATTTGTCCAGTTCATCACCCATAGCAGGTTTCATGACTTTTTTGCCATCGATATCATATCCAATATGCGGATAATCATCATACCATTCCATCGGTATATTACCCACAGTATTGACTGCCTAATTCACGAAAGAAATCAATTCAGGCAAATATTGAGGAAGAATTGATAAAGATTTCTGATTAATTCATACATTTTCAGTTGAAGAATCACTGTCATATACGGGATCGATTTCTGGCAATATCTGACGCGGATAACCATTAGCACCAATCTCATATTGCACTTGTGCCCCCCTGAAGTTTCATAACTATTTTATTAAATAAACGTCTACGAAATTAAACTACTACAGTATTTTAAAAAAATCACAAACATTTGGTCAGATATTTCACAATCATCCATTGCACTGCGAATTTTTGAAGATTTTTTTTTTTTTGAATGAGAAATCAATTGATATCGATATCGATATTATAAAAAATTTTAACTCACGTGATACGTATAATCACGTTTAACTGCATGGTATGTTTGTGTTACAAAAATTACTTTTTTTTTTTCATTTAAACGTACTATATCGTATGGGTAAAGTTTTGGAATTAGCAATAACTTTTAATCTATTAAATGGGTTTTATTACCAAAATGATCTCGATGAGGTGATTCTAACAAGCCCAGAATCATGTAAAAACCCGAAAGTGAATATTTAAGCTCTACTGTGGCAAACTTCTGAAAAATTGATATTATGTATCGAACATGACCTAATAAAGTCTTGAACATAGTAGACGTAGACGTGACAACACTGGTTGCAACGGGTCCGTATTATTTCACCGACAATCACATTTAACCGACATCACGTCAGGTGAAATTTAGTAAAAATATATACCTGTAACTTATCAAATGCTTAACCCTAACCCTATGTGATGTCGGCTAAATGAGCATTCGG